ACCTGGACATCCTGGAAGCTGGGAAATGGTGAGTATATGGGATCGGGTGTAATGAGAGGGGGAGGGCTCTGGTTGGAGAGGGAAGTGGCTGTGGCGGGTCAGCGCTGTTTCGCTTTACTTGGGGACTCTAAAGACCAGAGTTTGTTACTGGCACCCCTTGGTGCTCAGACTTCCCTGCGCAAAGGTTGAGTTTCGTAGGCTCTTCTTTATTGTAAGGAAATATTGCTTTATAAAAACACCAAGTATAATATCTGCAAGCATCACAAACGAGGGCTTTCTTTCATAGGGAGGAGCAAACAAGTTTTGGGAAAAAAGTGGGAGAAGAGGGCAGAATGGAGGGTGGAAAAATAATCTGCTATATCAGAAAATGTTTCACCCTGAAGTCAGCCTGTTCTTAGGAGGGGCATAAAGAGGGGTAACATGTTGAAGTCAGAATTGGCCCAAGTTCAGGATCCTGGGAGAAAGAAACTTTAGAAATATTTCATGAAGAAGCATTTTGCTGTGACTCCTGAAGAACGAACTGTTCAGCTGATTGTTTATGAGCAATAAATAGGAATTTGCAGAGCCTGTGCCTGCCCTATAGGGAGTATCACCTGAATCACAATGGGAAGGGTTGTTTCTTGCAGTATGTTGCTCTAGAGAACACAGAGAGTGGGGAATTTCTTTAATCACATCTATTTACCAGGATGAGTTACACGCCCTTTCATCTCCCACCACTTTCCCTTGCCCTATACGTGACTTTGGTCTACTTTATAGGAAATTGCTGAATGTAAGTCAGCATTCTGAATGTGGTTTGCTGAGTTCTGTGAGTAGGTGTATTAAATGATTATGCTTGTGGAGGGATTTATTTGAGCTCCTGCTTTATAGGCAGTTGCTCAAAATCTTCGAAGGGCCTGTGGGGCTTGCCCCGGCATCTGCAGTGAGAGCAGTGTGGTGGAACTGAGCCTTGAACTTGTGAGATCACTGTTAACTCTGGGTGGTGTCAAAATTAAATTTTGCAGATGGAGTTTGTATTGGAATATTGGTGGAATATTGTTTTGTAAACAGCATGTATTTGGTATGAGAAGTGTTGTCAAAGAAAAACATGATAAAGACTTGGGCTAGAGGGAGATTCCAAGGATGTGTCCTGCACATATGCTGTCACAGCACAAACTGTGCAGTGATTCCACATCACCTCCTGGGATGAGAGGGGACTGAGGTGTTGGAGTGCAGAAGCTCTGAGGTCAGATTTCTTCTCCACATTCTGCTGCCATCATGTGATATGGAACATACACACTAGACAGTGATGTAGTCACAGCCCATCCAGGCAATGCTCCACCATCTGGAATCAAGCTCACAGCTCCTTTACTCTTACAGTGTCCCACCAAAATCCCACACCAGTGCCCAGAAGACTTCTGGTTTCTCCCCACCCAAGATCTTGGCCCTTCACTACCCGGGCTTTTGTTTCATCCAATGATAATTTCATCTGTCTCCATGGAACAGAAATAAGCGTGAGCATATCCCAGCCTTGGCTATTCTGTCTAGCACTGGCACTTCAAAACAAGTGACTCAAGCAACGATATACATATAAATCAGTGGAAGTTTATTAAGACAAAGTTTGTAGACATTACTGGGGGAAAAAAAACCCCAAAAATCACAAATGTATTTTTGATTGTTCAGAAGGGGCATTTGGGAACTTTAAACATGACAAGGCATACAGGAGGAAAAAGTACTAGAGCCATGGGGACTGAGGTAAAATGGTTACCTTCTTCTGAAGCTTAGAAAACTTACATTTTGCATAGGATTATATGAATGAATGAACAAAAAAAGAGAGTGAAGGAAGAATCGATTAAGTAGATGTCTGTGGGTGTGTAGAAGAGGACTGGATCTTGTCTTCTATACCTTGGAAGATAAAGTTGTGGTAAATTTTAATAGTATGTAATGAAGCGGATTTTGGTTATAGGAGCTAGACTTAGCCTGCAGACACAGAGGTACATTTTTGTGTTTTTACTTAGGCGACCGTAGCAAGGAATGCCTTTGTAATGATCTTTGGTTGACAGTGCTTTTAGAATCCTGAGAACTTTTACCTTTCCATGAGGGTCTGGATGATACGTATTGTTAGTAAGAACTATTTATTTGGAAGTGGGTCTTGAATGACTCAGCCTCTGGGCTTCACCTTTGCTTTTGCATAAGGAGTTGTTCCTTAGATTCTTAGTTTCTTTTACAGTCTCACACAGTATGTCTGCAAGCTTTACAGTTTGTCCACCCGTGGGTCCATGTTAGCACCCGTCTTCTGATTATTTTCTTCCCCTTAAACCCTCTTTTGGGTACACAGTGTGGCTTAGGTCACTTCTCTGATAGCTTAACTCTTGCCTCCTGGAATTATGCCATGAGTTCAAGAAAGTAGCCCTACACCTGTCTGTTGCAAAAGTAAATATAAAATAGAAATACCAGACTGACTACTCCAAGTTGAATATGAAGAGATTTTACTCTCTTCCTTTTGCTTAAAGATTTTAATTTAGAATATTTTGTGTGTAAAAGTCTTCTCTGCCTCTTTGAAATATATGTAATAATTTTACCAGATAAATAGACTTTTGTCTTTTTTAAAATTCAGGACTCTGTTTCTCTAGGACCCAGGTGTTATGATTTTGAATTATAAATAGTTGAAATGATAGCAACCTTTGCCAAAGTTTCTGATGTGGTGTAGGACCTGCCTTTAGAAGGCACCTGGCTCCAAATCTTCCATCCTGTAGACATAAACTTCCTTTCTTCTTCTGAATATCATCAACTAGCAAACACAAATGTGCTTTCCAATTACAAGGTGAATTTAGGGTGAACTATATATGAGAAATGGTGTCGTCAAGGTTGGCACCCATAGCTCAGTGAGTAGGGCTAGACTGAGGCTAGTAGGTTTGAGCCTGGTCTGGGCCTGCTACAACAGTGATAACAGCAACAAAAAAATAGCCAGGCATTGTGGCGGGCACCTGTAGTCCCAGCTACTTGGGAGGCTGAGGCAAGAGAATGAATTGCTTAAGCCCAAGAGTTTGAGGTTGCTGTGAGCTGTGAGGCCACAACACTCTACTGAGGGTGACATAGTGAGACTCTGTCAAAAAAAAAATTTGTAATGAATATTTTGTAAAGATCCATTTAGCTTCCTCTTCTCATATTCCCTATGTATGGTGACTTTAGGGATGACTTTGAGGACCATTTGTGGATTTCTACAGAAATATCTTTGTAGGGCCACGGTCAGCCATTTTATCTCTGTCTTTCAGTTATCTTAATATCTTTAGACCTAAAACTGTCAGAGAGTATGGAGCCCAGGAACTCAACTTGAATCACAGATGTACATTGCATTGAGTACACCTGAGAATTTCCACTTTCTCATTTTTTTCCCCCTAATTTTCATGAATGTGTACAGAGGGCACATAACCATGTTTCTAAGAAGTTCCAAATTCTGAATCCAGGTCCTGCCTCAGACATTGCTGCCTTCTCTAGCCTCGAACATTTGAGGGGCCCGCAGACAATGCTAAGTTTAAGGATTGTGATTTTTGGTCTTCCTTGAACCAAAGGTATTTGTGTTGTTAAAAAAGTGTTGAGCAGAAGGGACTCTGTGCTGTGTTTGCTTTCTCTAGCTGAGTGCTGTTCTAGTCTAGGAGGAGTAATACATGAAATTTTTAAGCCACTTCATAGACCTACTTAAAACCTGTGAAATTGGCAGTACCCTGTAGCTCAGTGAGTCTGGCACTGGCACATACACAAAGGCTGGTGGGTTTGAACCCGGCCTGGGCCACCTAAACAACAATAACTGCAACAACAACTACAGAAAATATAGCTGGGAGTTGTGGTGGGTGCTTGTAGTCTGAGCTACTTGGGAGGCTGAGGCTAGAGAATTGCTTAAGCCCAAGAGTTTGAGGTTGCTGTGAGCTGTGATGCTACAGCACTCTACTGAGGGCAACATAGTGAGACTGTCTCAAAAAACAAACAAACAAACAGTAACATGAGGAGATGGTAAACTAATGTTGCAAGGACCACCTCATGTTCCTTAGCTGAGCAAAAGGTGATGAAAGGTAAGGAGCTTGGGAGAAGTATGTGTAGGAGCTTTCTATGTGTAGGTCACCCTGTCTTGTTGCAATGGTTTCTTTGCATCTGGCAGTCTGGCTGACATCAGCTAGACCACAACAGAAATGGTGGCTAATTACTCAGCATTTTCCTTCGTGGGGAATTCTGCAATCTTAGTTCTATAGTTAATGGCCCAAAAAGAAAAATGAGACAGTAGAGATCCTCAGGTGTACTCAATGTACAGAAATTCATAAGCAAGGATATACATAGCCATTATAATAAAAAAAAATGGTTACTGGCTTCAAGACAGGGTAACTTCTCCTATTGTAGGATCACATGCTTAGAGTGGCGAAGAATACCAAATGGCTTGTGTACATACTAAAGCCTGAGAGGCAATGCTTAGCTAAGCGGTTCTCTGCTCAAGCTTCCTGTTAGGGTTCCACAGCCAGGTTGATGAAGTCCCATCAACAGTGATTCTGCCTTCCAAAAGATTATATAGTCTCTGTTGTGTAATCTATGTGGTTTTAATTAAGTTTCTCCATGTAATTCTTAGGGTAGGCTAGTGTCAAGCATGAGGGCTTCCAGATACATTTATTTATTTATTTATTCACTCATTCATTTCTTTCTTTGTTTTTCGAGACAGAGTCTTAACTATGTTTCACAGCTCACAGCAACCTCAAATTCTGGCCTTAAGCGATTCCCTAGCCTCAGCCTCCCAAGTAGCTCAGACTACAATGCCCACAATGCCCGGCTATTTTTTGTTGTTGTTGCAATTGTCATTGTTGTTTAGCAGGCCTGGGCCAGGTTCGAACCTGCCACCCTTGGTGTATGTGGCCAGCACCATAACATTGTGCTATGGGCCTGAAGCCACCCAGATGTATTTATAAAACTTGAGTTTAGTCTTTTTTCCAGAAAGAGGTCACAGGGCCTGCTCATCTTGGGTTTAATATGAATAAGATAGCATGACCCATATTCCCATTGCCATAGTAGAAATTACTGGAAGGGTAGGGTACCCAATGTCAAGAAATAAGAAACTCACACTTTGCACTTTATTCAGAACCTCCTTGTTCTTGACTGTCTCCATTGATAAAAAACAGGAAAAGGTCAATATTTTTCTATACTTTATCATCCTTCTGCCAGTGGATATTGTGGTAGCAGGTGAAGGTGTCAAACTGATGGTTTTTTTTTTTTTTTTGACCGGGGCTGGGTTTGAACTTGCCACCTCCGGCATATGAGGCTGGTGCCCTACTCCTTTGAGCCATGGGCACCACCCAAACTGATGTTTTTAAAGACGTACTGTACAGGTACAGGCATAATGTATCAAGATAATCTCACCTGAGAAGGAAATGAAAAAGAGAAAGAAATGATTGCCTCTCAGGTAAATGTGTCCCAGGTCCAGGGCTGTGCCCACTTCTCCTGCAGTGTCATGTATTTAGAACTTGCAAACCTTTGCTTCTCTACTTGTGATGTTCTTCTCTAATGAGTTTCAAATACTCTTTTGCCCTATTCTTACAGTACTGAGGAGGCTCTGAAAACTTCTCCCTTCTCCCTATATAGCATAGTTTTATTTCCATTATCTCCATCCAGGCTTCTCATGTCCCCTGAAAATTTTTAACTGTAATTTTATGTTTTACAAAACATATATATATATGTATACATATATATATATACACACACACACACACATATATTATGTATTATAATACTGAAAATGTTTTCCTTGTGCCTATATAAAATGGGAAAATGTAAGATTGCCATTAGATTTTAGCAAAGAAGGGGAATACGTGCTGTTTAGGTTCCATCTGGAAGCTCCATCAGTTCTATGTCGAATAAGATGAAGTACATGAGGTCAGGAGTAGAGGCTTCCACCTGACATCCTAGCACTCTGGGAGGCCATGGCAGGTGGATTGCCTGAGATCAGGAGTTGGAGTCCAGTCTGAGCAACAGGAAGACCCGTCTATAAATAATCATCAGGTGTTGCGGTGGGTGTCTGTAGTACCAGCTATTGAGGAGGCTGAGGCAAGAGAATCTCTTGATCCCAAGAATGAGAGGTTATTGTGAAGTATGACAGCATGGCACTCTGCATAGGGTGACAAAGTGAGACTGTCTCAAAAAAAAAGAAGCAAAGATGAAGTGCATGCACTTTTACAGAAGATGGCCTAAAATAGTTGTTCAGTGGTGGGTTGGAACCTGGCTAAACAAAGAACAAAAAAATTAGTCATTGTGGGGGGCACCTGTTGTCCCAGCTACAAGGGAGGCTGAATCAAGAGAATGTCTTGAGTCTAGGAATGTGAGTTTGAGGTTGTGAGCTGTGACGCCATAGCATTCTACTAAGGGCAACATAGTGAGACTCTATCTCAAAAAAAAAGAAGAAATATACACAGCTTATAGTGTATGATGTAAGTAAGGCACAGAAATGTACATGCCTATATTGGTGGCTTTATTTTTGCACTGTAACCTAAAAAAGCACAGTATCTACACTGGGACTGTGGATGTTATCCCATCCTCTTTCCTCAGGGTTAGAGAGCACATGAAGGAATATCTCTCAGCTGTACTTATCACATCATACCATTCAGTCATGTAAGTCAGAAGAAGTTCTCACCCACTCATTTATGTAAAAATGAAATTAAGTCTTCCCTTGGCATCATAATAAATGTTGTTCTTTTTAGTTTTTTAATTTTTTTTTTCAGGCACTGTTGACATTCAGAGATGTGTCTATAGAATTCTCTATGGATGAATGGGCCTGTCTGGACTCTGCTCAGCAGCATTTGTATTGGGATGTCATGTTAGAGACCTACAGACACCTGGTCTTCCTAGGTGAGGAAAACTTACATACACAGTTCCTACAGTACACTAAGCATTTCATATTGTTTCTTTGTAGTTGGGTTGTGTGTAGATTCTTCTTTGACTGCATTAGTTTCAGATTGTTGTTCTAAGGAAAACACAGGTTCTTGGCATAGAAAAGAAAATATTTCAGATGTTATCTTGGCATTAATAATAGACTTTCTTTTCTTTTTTTTTTTTTTTTTGCAGTTTTTGGCCAGGGCTGGGTTTGAACCCTCCACCTACAGTTTATGGGGCCAGCACCCTATTCCTTTCAGCCACAGGTGCCACCCCAATCTTAGCCTTTCTTGAGCTGATAAATATCCTTCTGTACATTGATGGTAATTCAAAAATGTAGAGGCTTAGAATTGTTGCCCATACCTTTAAGTCTAGTTTCTAGCATCAAATTTTATTTCCATAGTACTGAGTAGTGGAGCATTTTAAATGCTTTGAAAATATTCAAAAGTTTCTGTTCTGTCAGAAACCTCTACTTTTAGGTTATTCTTTTAGGATCTCTAAAATGTTGTGTTCTTTACTCTACGAAGGTACTAGATTGTTAACTTGGTGAAGAACTACAAGCATCATTTTTTTTTCTAATGAAACAGGGCTTGCTGTATCTAAGCCAGACCTCATCACCTGTCTGGAGCAAAGAAAAGAACCCTGGAAGGTGAAGACTCACCAGGCAGTGATCAAGCACCCAGGTAGGTTGGAGTGAATGAAGCAGATAATATTGGTCAGAGGTCCCAAGTTGAAGGAGGAAACCAAACAATGCAAGGTGATTAGGGAAGCTCAGCTTCATTTGAAATGAGTTCTGGGAAGCCTGAGTTTCTTTCTCTTGTTGTTACATAAAGGCACCTCTGTTCTTGTTTTCATTTCTTGTGTTTATTTTCTCATTGAGACAAAGTCTCACTGCTTTGCCATCAGACTAGTGTGCCGTGGCATCAGCGTAGCACAGAGCAATCTTAACCATCTTGTTTCAAGTGATTTTTTGGTCTCATCCTCTCAAGTAACTGGGAGAACAGGTTTCTCCACAAGGCCTGGCTAATGTTTTTACCATGTAAAATCAGAGTCTTACTCTTGCTCAGGCTTGTCTCAAACTCAAGGAATGCTCTCACCTTGGCCTCTCAGGTGCTTGGTTTACAGGTGTGAGCCACCGTGTCTGGCCCTGTTCTTCTTTTTAATTTTTTAAAATTTGTTTGAAACAGAGTCCCACTTTGTCACCCTGGGTAGAGTTCTCTGGTGTCATAGCTCACAGCAACCTCAAACTTTCAGGCCCAAGGAATCTTCTTGCTTCAGCCTCCCAAGTAGCTGAGACTACAGGTGCCTGCCACAATAACCAGGTAGTTTTTCTTTTTAAGAGACGTAGTCTTGCTGTTGCTTGTACTGGACTCCTACTGGTTGAGCTCAAGCAATCCACCTGCCTTGCCTTTCCAGAATGCTAGAATTATAGGTGCCTGGCCTTTTCTTTTTAATGTCTGGAAGGAGTTCAGTTTTCAGGGATGTTCTTTCTAGTTTACAGTGAAAAGGAAGAACAGGCTCAGCGCCTATGGCTCAAGCGGCTAAGGTGCCAGCCACATACACCTAAGGTGGTGGGTTCGAATCCCCAGCCCCGGCGCCAAACAACAATGACGGCTGCAACCAAAAAATGGCCAGGCGTTGTGG